CAAAAAAATRAAAATTAAAGTCCAGTACGTTTTACTCTCAACAATTCTCTACATGTGTCTGGCTTTAATAAAATGTGTGTGACCCCAAACCACTGTATCCTGTAAACAGCTGTGGAATATCAGTGCTTTCTTTTCACACCAAATCCATGTGATTGAGGGGAAAAAAAAAACACCTGTTGTGAATTCTTCATTTTAGGTGCCAGTACCTACTAACGACTATTGATTTACATGGGGTTGTTTTAATATTTGTTAAGCTGAATGTTAAATATTCACTTTTTTCTTTTTCTTTTCTTTTATTTTAAAGCCAAATGCTGATGTTGTCCCTCCTTCAGAAACCAGTGAAGATTCATGAAGTCTCTCTAAGCCCTTTTCTTCATCTGAAACCTGTGATGATGATGATGATGATGAAGGCAGCTGTAAACAATGACCTGCAGCTGCATTTAGGTGCAAACACTCATGGATTTACAGTAGTTCTACTGTTTTTCTTTTATTATAATTAGTATTTGCATTCAGTAACTTGTTCAGACGTTTTTAGTGTTATTTGTAATCATGTTTGCATTAATAAAAATTCAGATTTATATCTTGCATTTGCATTCTTTTAAAGGTGGTGGGAGAATTGCCTTTTTTGAGAATCTTAATAGAGAATTAAATGATATATACAAAGAGAGATGCAGTTTTTGTAGTTGTGTATTGTTTTGTATTGTTTATAGTAAACAACACAAAGTTCCCAGAAGCCTAACTCCAAGAGATTTTTTTAAGTCCTGAGAGTTACACATGTGTACCAAATTTCATGATTCCAGGTCAAAGCATGGCTTGGGGATGATCTTTTAAATACCCATACTGGCACCAACAAGACAGATCCATTCAATAAAACAGAATTCAAATCAAAACAAGACTTGTTTTTTTAAACAACAGTTTTGGCATCTGCGTTTCTGTCATCAAATGCTCTTGGAATTATGGAATTATCAAAAGAAGTGTACTTTGAAGTACTGGAGTGCACAGAAACCCCCACCCCACCCCCCAAAAAGGAAAACCAATTAGTTTTCTGTTGAAAAAGCAGTACTGAACTAGACTTGAGGGTGTTACCAGTTTGAAGGAAGCTGTATTATTGTGAAATAATACCTTCAGCATYAAGACAGTAAACAGACAAAAAGTTGCCCAATAGGAATTAGTCAAAACCTGATCTTTCAGTCTAAATCATGAGTGGGTAGCTTTGGAGCCACTCCTTTCAACTAAACCTACAACCCAAAAACCCACAGATAAAATCCTAACAAAGTATTGAATGAAAACAAATTCCAGTGTGTGTGTGTGTGTGTGTGTGTGTGTGTGTGTGTGTGTGTGTGTGTGTGTGTGTGTG